AATCCTTGCAGCAGCCCTCCTTTCAAAGGAAAACTTGAGATGTGAGGAAAACTTCCAATAGCAGAAGAGCAATATGAACAAACTGATGTCAGGGGAGAGAGAATCCAGGGAGCAGGAGGATACTTAATTGGATATAAATATTAATTGTGTATATGTAATTGTATAAATATCATGTGTACATATCATATTATGTATATGTAATATGCATATATAACAATTATACAAATGTTATATATTGATTTATAGGTAACACATGTTAACACATAAAACTAATACACAAAGCACACATTATTACATATACATACATAACATTACATGCACGTTACATATACACACATGTGGAATGCATACATACATGCTATAGGAAGATGCAGCTTTAACATGACAATGGACTGCTATGAGAAAGGAACCTCGGACAACTTGAATGCATTCTTGGGGTTTTAAAACATTATAAAGAACTCTAAGTGAAAGTGGAAGGTAGAATCATCGGTTGGGAATGGCTGAATACCAAGTTGCAGAGCTAGAAGCTAAAATCTCCCAGGATTAGAGCAGAAAGACAGGGAAATCCCTCAGAAGACCTGAAGTCAGAAGCCATGACCAGAGGTTACCCTGGTGGAGTGTAGCCTGAGAGAAAGAGAAAGACTTCGACTTTTCACTGGGGGCCCTTCTGAACCACAGGAACGTTTTTCTTTACCCTAACAGCCACCAACAGAAATGATGAATTAAACTTGCATGCTGTCCTGGTGGTGGCCAGGGAGTCTCAGAATAGGAATATTGAATCAAACTTGGCACAAGTCAGTTCACTTTGAATTAATCAAAAGGGAGATCACTGGATGTGAGAATGACCTAATCAGGGGAGTCCATAAAAGAGACAAGAAGCACCAGTAGACATCTTCCTCCTGCTCCCCATAAAGAAGTAGACTGCCATGTTTTGATTGGAGGGGCCATGTGGCCCAGACCTGAGAGTGACTTCTTGTAGCTGAGAGTGACCCCTGGCTGATAGCAGAAAGCACATGCAGATCTGTCTTACAACCACAAGTAGCTGAGTTCTACAAGAACCAGTGAGCTTGAAAGAGAAGCCCCAGCCCCTGACACCTTCATCTCAGCCCGGTTAGACCCTGATTAGAGAACCGAGCTAACTCATGTCCAGAATCCTGACCTAACAAAACCATGAGATAATAAACAGGTGCTGTTTTAAGTGGCTGTAGTTTGTTATACCACAATAGAAAGCAACTCTAGGTGAGATACTCCAGCATGTCAAGCTAGGTTCAAGAGTGGGTTCCTTCAGCTGGGAGGAATTGGGCACTGTGCCTGATTTATTACAGTGGCCATATATGCAGAGGGGTGGGTTTCTGAGGGAAGACCCTCAGCGAGGAATTCCTTGGGAATGCGCTGTAGGTGGTGCCTGGATCTGGAGCCGGAGAGGTGCTAGTGTCCTGCCTTGATTCTGGGTTCTGGAATCTTCAGGAAATAGCTTCACCTCTATACGACTCTTTCACTATCTGTACAATGTGGGTAAGCATAGCTCCACACCCTGGGACTGTTAGGGGATTGAGTGAGATGATTCTTGGAAAGCTCTAGTCACAGAGTGGGTACCTAGAAAGGGCTCAGTAAACTCTAGTGCATTATTATTCTATCTCAAAGGGTCACTGGAGCACCCTGGGTGGGGGGGGTCTCCAAATGTGCCCACCACTGGTCTCACAGGGACCTGGGTTCTGAACAGGGATGAACCTGGGTGTATCTGACACCAGAGCCAGCATGGGGTTGATATAGAGGTCTATGGGGACTGCAGTCACTGTGGAAAGCAAAATAACCCTTGATTCTAACATTAAGCCCAGTTGCTAAGGAAAGGGTAAAGAGACATGTAAGATCCATTTGAGGACATTTTTATATGTCTGGAGAGAATAAGTACAAATAACAGGGGTTTATGATGAGGGCTAGCTAAGTTGGTTAAAGGTGGGACCCAGATAAGGGGTTAGGACACTTTGGCCATTTGTGGGGGGCCAGGGACTCAGGTACACCCATGAAGTGGGGCTCCACAGTGTGGACCTCCAAGACAGGGTCAGTTGCTGGCGTACACTCACTACGGTGACTATGGTGTGTTAGGAGGGACTGAAACTCATGAAAACAAACGAAGTAGAACAAATTTGCTACTCCAAAACCTCAGAGGTAGAAAGGAGCAGGCCCAGGGTTGCCAGGTGGGGTTATGGTGGGAACACACTGTCACACCTGAATCCAGAGTGTTAAAGGTAAACAAAGCCTGACACAGGTTAATGTGTAAGGACAGATTTTAATCACAAATATACTACTGCAACAGGGAAGAGTCCAGCGTGATTTGAACTCAACTTCTATTTGCTCAGAGGTAACTGGTCCTTTTAAAGGAGAATGAGGGAGTAGGGAGGGGGTGAACAGGGCCTCAGTAGAGTCAGGGAAGTGAAAAATTCCAAGAAGTGGGAAGGAGGATTGATCTGTATGGAACCCATCTGGGTTTGTTATCTAGCACTTATCAAAGTTAGGATCCTACCTTCTCACAGAGACTAGGAGACAGAGCCTTGTCTTTAGATGTTGAATGTAACAAACAGCAAAGTCTTTTGCTTAATTTTCTCACATAGACCCTTTAGGGGGAGCTAGGATCAATCTAGGGATACAGCCTTGAGCTGCTAGAAACTATGTTAGTGTGTGTTCAGGTCTTTTATAGGCCAAGGTTGGGGGCCTTGTTGAGAAGAGGGCTCAGGGGAATGAACCTAGCTAGAATTTGGTGAAGAAGACAGCTTTTGTCCAGAGCACGTACACAGCCCAGGCCCGCCCCCATACCCCACGGGCTTCCACACTGTGGGCAAAGAGCCCAAGATGCCGGCCTTGAGGAGTGAGGGTATCATATTGCAAGTCCTGAGGAACAGCTTTGTGAGACCATGATGATGAGACAGGCTTTTTAATGTCAGCATGGCATCCAGCCCTTCTTCAAGCCATTCCAGCTCTTGGCCTCGACTGTCTTCCTTATAACCACAAAGAATGCCACCCCACTGACTGTGCTTCAGTGCAGTGCTGTCCCATGGGAAGCCTTCCTGCTGGGCCCTGCTGTGCTCAGCCCCACCCTCACATCCTCTGGGCTGCAGCCCACTCTCCCCACCCACAGCTCTCCCCAGGGACCAGGACTGACAGGCTGGCATGCTAGTGTGGATACAAAGTGATTTTACCCAAGTGTATTTTATTCATTCATTCACTCCATTATGACATTGAGATGTTCCTGGCAGAAAAATCAACTGATCCTCAGGCCAAAAACACTTCTTTTTTGTTTGTTTGTTTGTTTTCTTTTCTTTTTTTTTTTTTTTTAGAGCGGGAGGTGGGGAGGGGCAAAGAGAGAATCTTAAGCAGGCTCCATGCCCAGCATGGAGTCTAACATGGGGCTGGATCTTACAACCCAAGATCATGACCTGAGCGGAAATCAAGAGTTGGACACTTAACTGACTGAGCTCCCCAGGTGGCCCTAGGCCAAAAACATTTAAAAATCATCTCTTTTTAAGAAAAAGGTAGGTGTAGGAGTGCCTGGCTGGCTTAGTCGGTAGAACATGAGACTCTTAATCTCAGGGTTGTAAGTTTGAGCCCCATGTTGGGTGCAGAGATGGCTAAAAATAAAATCTTTAAACTTTTTTTAAAGACTTCATTTTTAAATAATCTCTATACTCAATGTGGGGCTCAAACTTACAACCCTGAGATCAAGAGACTCATGCTCCACCAACTGAGTCAGCCAGGCACCCTAAAAATGAAATTTTGTAAAAAAAGGAAAAAGGTAGGTGATTATGTTTTTGATATATACATCATATACATGATATATACATACATACCATACATGTATATATAATTTTTAAACATCTTTCAATAATGTAAGTATGACTACTAAGAGCACATTGTATTTAAAATCAGACATTGTGCTAAATATAGCTTTGCTAAAACACAATCTAGTTGTAATATAACCTGGGTTTTTTTTTTTTTAAGATTTATTCATTTATTTGAGAGAGAGAGAGGGTGGGAGAGTGGGGGTAGGGGCAGAAGGAAAGGGAGAGAGAGAGGGAGAGAAACGGACTCCGCACTGAGTGTGGAGCCTGAGATCATTACCTGAGCCGAAATCAAGAGCTTAACTGACTGAGCTACCCAGGAGCCCCTAATATAACCTGCTTTTAATTGTTAAGAGAATCAGATTTGCAACAGAACAAAGACCATGACATTTATGTGTCTGTAGGTTGGGCCTCCCAGGGTTTTCCAGTGCTTGCGGGCTGTGTTTGGAAAGGAAGCTCTGTGAGATGTTGGCTCCAAGGACCATGGGCTGTTTCTCTCCCAGCAGCTTTCAGCTCATCCCTTGCCCTTGTTGGTCCTCCCAGACCCCCTTGCTCTCGCAGCTCTCCTTCTCCTGCCCTGCATCACTCAGCCACAAAGCTTTGTGGCCAGGACATGGTGTCCCCAGAGCCCAGCATGAGGAGGGGCCCTCAACAAAAGGACTGATTTTGTGGTCTAGGGTCCTCTATAGCAGTTTGCTGACTATGTAAATGGATAACTAATAAGTCTTCAGCAGAAATGACAAAAAAAGAAAGTTTGGGGGCAATGTACTCTGTCCTCACCTGAGATTTGTGCAGTGCAGCCATCAGCAAACTGGGATCCACAAATCCCAGCGAGACATGGACTTCCAAGGGTATAGGCGATTTTGAGGGAACAGTGTTCTAGATCTTGGCTTCCTGCAACTGGCTGCCTGTGCAGCCCCTGATGGAGGTGCAGCTCCTCTCTGGCCCCTCAGGAGCCACCCCTCCCCCTTCCTAAGGCAAGGATGGGGCAACAAAGCATGGGCTCAGGGAGGGTAAAGGCCTCTGGGCACAACAGACAAGAGGGTGTTCATACTATTGGGAAAGTGTTGAGAAAGCCAATGACCAATGGTTGCATAACAAAGCCTTTTGCAGATTTTATTTATTTATTAGAGAGAGAAGGAGGAAGCACAGGCAGGGGGAGTGGCAGGCCGAGGGAGAGGGAGAAGCACGCTCCCCGCTGAGCAAGAGCCCGATGCGGGGCTCGCTCCCAGGACCCCGGGATCATGACCTGAGCCGAAGGCAGACGCTTGACGACTGAGCCACCCAGGTGCCCTAAAAATTATTTTAAAATTATAAAAAAATATATCATTTACCGTCCTGTGGAGGAAGGGGAATAAAAATATGGATTGAAGGAGAAAAATGAATAATATAAAATTAAGCTGTTTTATTTAAGAAAGGGCTTGTTCTTGCATTTTTAAAATGGATGATGGCAGGTGTCAAATTTTTAGGTTGTTTAGATTCCATGGGACATGTTTAAGAAGTATGTACTTTTTGTAATGGTAATAAATGCCATATGCTGAAAGTAGAATATTTTAAATTAGTTCAATGTGTGATTAAAAATGTTAAATGTCAACTTAAAAATATGCAAGGAGGTATGTGATAATGCCATGTTCTTTTAGGGAGTGAGTGTCAGAGGGTTTGCAGACCCTGGTGGAGAGGACCAGGATTGGAGGGTGTATTCCCCGAGGTCATGAAGACACAGTGCTAGGGGCACCTGGGTGGCTCAGTCAGTTAAACGTCTGCCTTCGGCTCAGGTCATGATCTCAGGGTCCTGGGATTGACCCCGAGTCTAACTCCCTGCTCGGCAGGGAGTCTGCTTCTCACTCTGCCCTTCTCCCCCCTTCTCCTGCTCTCTCTCAAATAAATAAAATCTTAAAAAAAAAAAAAAAAAGAAGCAGTGCTAGTGTTACTAGAACAGTGATTACCAAGGCATTAGGGTGTTCTGCTGAAATCCACTCGTGGGAAGCTACTAAAAGCCTTGAATATATAAGTGAACAAAGGAGGAGTATCTAAGCATCAAGACAGTGAAAGTAATCACCTGGAAGAAAATCACAGGATTTGACTGTATGGCAAATTTAAACTTCCGTATGTAAAAAAAAACTCTCAACTAAAATGAAACATTAGTAGTTATAGAATGGTTTTCAAACTTTTCCTTACAATTCCTAAAAGTACCCTGAAAAACTTCATACCTTTTACACATTGTAAAAATGGCTTTTGACATGTTTCATTTTAAGTTTAAATATTTGGAAAGGATGTAATCTGGTATATTGAAAATATTGACATTTAAATATATGCATGTCATTCTTTTAAGTGTACATAATGAAATCTAAATCCTCTAGTAATATGAAATATACTATCATGCTTAAAAAAATACAGGAGTGGAGGGCCTGGGTGGCTCAGTCGGTTAAGTGTCTGCCTTTGGCTCAGGTCATGATCCCGGGGTCCTGGAAGCGAGTCCTGCATTGAGCTCCCTGCTCAGCAGGGAGTCTAATTCTCCCTCTCCCTCTTCCCCCATTCCCCACTCATGCTTTTTCTCTCACTTGCTCTCTTTCAAATAAATAAATAAAATCTTTAAAAAAATACATAAAGAAAACCCCTGACAACTGGACATTACTTTTCTTTTCTTCTGTGTTTATTTCTTTTTCACTTCTCCATACATACAATTTAACATAGTTTATTTTTTGCTTAAATGTCTTTTATTGATTATTCTATCATACCTCTCTGTCACAAAACATGCATGCAAATTGATCAAAACAACAAATGCACTAAAACTGTTATGAAATAATTATGATAATTGTATTGGAAATGCATCCCTAGTCAAACTTGATATATGGATGAGGATTCTTTTCCAGTTGGTCCATGCATCCACGAATGAACATTGCTTAGCGCTAGAATGTGGTAGAGTTCAGCATTGAATCTATCCCTATTTTAGCTTTTTATAGCTGTAGCACTGAAAAGTCTTGGTGTATATGGGCTGATTTTTATTAAAGCAACAATATTCAGTTTTTTGGATGTCTTGAGTTTTATGCTCCAAATCACATAGCACCCTGCTGCAGGCTCGGCACAGCACTGCGTACTTTTGCTTTATGGCCTTTACTACGGAAGCAGTGTTACATTTTCTCACCCTTTCCTCCCACTAGAATATGAGTTTCTTGAGGGTAGGGTTGCAGTTTATCTAGTTAACCAGTATATGACAGGTGCTCAGTAAATATTGGCTCATTTGCTTCATTCTTCATTTATTTTTATTTTTTATTTTTTTAAAGATTTTATTTATTTATTTGACACAGAGAGACATAGCAAGAGAGGGAACACAAGCAGGGGGAGAAGGAGGGGAGAAGCAGGCTTCCCCGCGGAGCAGGGAGCCCGATGTGGGACTCGATCCCAGGACCCTGGGATCACGACCCGAGCCGAAGGCAGACGCTTAACGACTGAGCCACCCAGGCACCCCGCTTCATTCTTCATTTAATAAATATTCATCAAGGGCCTTCTATGGGTTGGCCCCTTTTCTAGTCTCTGGGGATATAGGAGGGAGGGAGACAGGCAAAGCTTCTGCCTCTTGGTACCTACTTTTTAGTGGGTGTGACAAAAACAAATAAGCTCATGTCAGGAGTTGATAAATGCTATGGAGAAAAATTCAGAGTTAAGGAGTAAAGGGTGTTGGGGCACTGCTAGTTTTAAAAGGATGGTCTGGGAAGGTGTCTCCAAGAAGGGGAATCCATCATTACAAATTATTTTCAAGGATCTATTTGCTAACTGCTTGATTCAATTTTGTTAAAAGCAAAAATTGGAAACATATTTGCCATGGGATTTGTTACCAATTCAGTCAAGTCATTTACTCTCTCAATTTCTGGGAGATATATAAGAAAAAAGGCCTTATCAGGATTAACAATGTGAAAAGGTAATTAAAAAAAAAAGATGAAATATGATTTTCATACATTTATAAAATGAATATATATTAAATTCTTTAAATTTATCCTTATCAGTGAGAAAACTAGTAAGATGTTACAACTAATTCAAAGGAAACTACAAGAACAGACACTTTTATAGATCAGGAATGTTGACAGGAAAGTGCAAACAAAGGCAAAAAGGTTGGCCTCTTCCATTTGAAGGAGAAAGTTGCATTTCCACAGGAAGGGGGAGTTTACAGTGCTATAGACAGGAAGGATTTGCCTTGCAATCAGTTGTCTTTGGGATGTAAAATAACTCATGGCAGAGAAAAGCAAGAATTTGATACACTGAAAATATGTGCTCTAGAATCTAGAAATGCAGACTTCTCCACTGAAGCAGAAATTTTCTATGAGGACTAACCTTGTCTCTTTTTCACTTTTGGGCTCCTAATAAAGGGTTGGGAAAGTTGAAACATTAATCTCAAAACACCTTTGCTAATACAATATTTTTTGATAAAACAATTTTATCATATACCTTACATATATATATGTATTTTTTTAAAGTAGTCTCCATGCCCAGCATGGAGCCCAATGCAAGGCTTGAACTCATGACCCTGAGATCAAGACCTGAGCTGAAATCAAGAGTCAGACGCTTAACAAACTGAGCTACCCAGGTGCCCCTACATATATTTTTGTCAAAACTTTGAAGCTGTAGATGTAAACTACTCAAACTATGGAAAATGACTGCCACATTAACCCACCTATCACATCATAGTCTATTTGTTAGAAAATTTGTTTTTATATGCAAATAAATGAGTTAACATGCATGTTGAGGGCATCTGGGTGGCTCAGTCAGTTAAGCGTCTGTCTTTGGCTCAGGTCATGATCCCAGAGTCCTGGGATCAAGTCTCATATGGGGCTCCCTGCTCAGCGGGGAAGGAGCCTTCTTCTCCCTCTGCCTTCTGCTCCCCCTGCTTGTGCTCTCTCTCTCTGACAAATAAATAAAATAAAATCTTTAAAAAAAATGAATGTTGAGGAATATTACCAAAAACATTGAGAAATAAATATGGAACCTGTTTTTAAAGATAGATTACCAATAGCAGTCAAGATTAAAACAATGCTGATTAAATATTAATCAATTACCCATTCTATTAGGTTATAAAGAGAAGGTAACAATGTTGTTTAGTATCACTTAATTTGTAATAATGAAACGTTATATGTAGTTAGACTTACATATATGGATGAGGAGCATAGGAGAACGTGATATCCCTTCCATAAATATGTAGGCAAGCATGCATTGAACTCCAGTGTTTGGTTTAAATCAAAATTAAACAAGTTTTTTTTTTTAATTATTAAACAAGGATTACTTTTTAAAATGTCAGAAAATAAATCCATTAATTTTTTTGGACAAAGTGACAAGCTTCTCCTTGGTCTTGCACATAGTATATAATTTTTGTTTTTTCGTTGATAAAAGGCAGAACATACTGAACATTCTATCTAATCATACAAGTGAGACATTATGATTGGAATAAATATTTCATGATCTTGTTTGACCACATAAGTTTGATTTCTTTATTGAAAGATACATCAACTCTAAAAGAAAACACATAAAATATTTATTTGCCTGTCTTGCATAGCTTGAAAAATTTGATAGTCTCGAAAAAACATTATATTTACAGGAAACAAATCAGCATGATTAACATGCATTGCTCCTACTGTTTGAAGAGACTTCCACTTCTTGTTAATGATATCCCTACTAATGCACTTGGAGGAAGAACAAAAGATATTTTTAGAATCTGACACTCTCTTTGCTCTCCCAGGACCCTCGCTCAGGACCTGTGCATCCTTTGACAATAATGGGGTAGGGGACGGGGCTCTGAAAGATATAAGGTCACTTTCACTACTGCACTACAGAAATACTAAATTCAGAACCTCCCAACAAAGACCACTGTCTCAGCTTGTAGGGACAGGGTAACCAGTGACAGCTCTGTGCATAAGAGCAGGAAAGCAGAGCCTTAGGTAGACTTAAGGTGTTTTATCAGCTATTGGAGGATGATAGTTAGATGGGTCTCTTGGTTTGGCAGTCTTTTACACTCTTTTATACCACTGTGCATGGGTGAGGTATAGCCCCTGTTTTTGCTATTTGGGGGAGGCATTGTAGAAGGAGATCCTATATGAATCAGCTGCAGAGGCTCAGGCACCGAGACTTGAGGAAGAAATTATTGAATTTATGGAACTTACAGAATTGTTACCTTACAACTTTCTATACCCATGTTTTCCCTGGGAAAGCAATGCTTACCTCAGGATTACTTTGAAGACTTCCAAGTAGAGAGAGCAAAGAGCTGTAGCAGTTTAGACATGTGCTTATAACCCAAGTGGC